GTGAAAAAACCAGGACACCCCGTTTACATCCTTGAAGGTCACGAGGAGGAAACTGATGTTGTAGCGTGGAATGACTACTTTCAGATATTCACGGCTAGCAACGACCTCACCTACCGACTGTGGACGATTTTGCCTAAAGACGAGCCTTCGATGCATCGAAAGACATCAAATCGAGTAAACGCCATTAAATGCAGTTCGAGCGTCGAGAAGGATGGCAACGCAGATCTGATGAGCGCCGTTCAGTCGTTCGAGAAGATGATCGTAACGCCGCACAAAGATATAGCCAGTAGTCAAACGGGCGGTCACCAAGCTGAATTCCCGGCAAAGCGGAAACTGCCTTTCACAAGTCCTTTCAAGCAGACGACCGATGGACAAACAACATCTAGCAGGAAGCAGCTAAAAGTCTTCGACTTTCCAAAGTCCCCAGTTCATCATTTGCGAAACCCATTCAACTTTCCTACCCCAACCTTTGATCTTCCGAATCGCGTTATGCACCAGAAGCAACTGCAACGGACTACTGCGACGTCTGAAGCAGCGAGCATTACAATCAGCCAACCCGTGTGTGCCATTTCAACAAGCAAATTGCGGCCGTCAACGGTACAAAGGCCGGTGCACAAACTACTCACTACAATGCCCGCTTCCAACAAGCCGCTGTGTAAAGGACTGCTGAAGCCCAAGTCTTTGTTGGATTACTTCGATGTACTCTAATTTGAACCTGCTGCCCAATAGCGCTACTTTTTATCATCAGGGTTATGATTTACTGCTATGATCGTTTTCTCTGATTGGTTCCAATTTTCGCACATTTCATACTTATGTTTACTTACTTTGACTATCCATGAAGAGACCAGGTTGTCTCATTTGATTGATAAAAAGCTTTAGTGGTCAGGACTTCAGTCTTCACAAATTACCAGCGTTATTTGCTAAGTCGCGGTGCACAAAGTCAGATTAACGAGGCGCAGTAATATAAAAGGCCTTATTAAGTGTAGACTACAAGTAACAATCAACATTCATCAACCGGGTATTTTGTTAATACGTTGACATGCTGAAATACGGCACAAATATGACATAATACGACATAATTAAAAGGATCGATGGTGATAGACAAGTCATCTTGTATGAATAGATTTCTATTTGGCTATTCATGCCTTACTTTCTTGCAAGGATCAGTTTATTCTGAATCTTGGATCAATGTCTGGCACTACAGTTCTCCGTATTCCTGTCAGTATTTGCTATTTACTTACATTTATATGTAGTTTTTCTTTACTGAAAAGCGGTAATCATTTCTTTGATTCCATTCAAGCACTAAAATGCTCGTTAACTAAGAAAATATCACAAAGTGTTTAGTACTCATTAGTTTACACAGTTGACTACACCTCGTTTCTGGCACACTAATTTTTAGCATTTGTACAATGTACAACGTAACTTCGTAGAAATGCATCTCATTTAATTGTAAGCACATCCTACAGCATGTTTACTCTCTAAAAAGCTTGAGCCTAATATTTCATTTGGGCACTGAGTATGCAGAAATGATCGGACTTTTACCGAAGAACCAATCATAAAGTCAAAACTTCGAGTTCTACAAGAAAATGAAACAAAATACGTCCCCTTACTTATACCAGTAAACTTGGTAAAGATAGGCCATTAAAAAACGTACTAATCATTATCTATGATGTCATTAAATTAATAATAATGGGAAATTATTTTGTCCTTAATGATGCATTCTTCAAAAAAATGAGTGTTCACTCACCCATCTTTGCAAACTTTTCTCTGGTTTAAAAATTTGGTCATGAGCTTGACTGACCTGTTTCCAATTTTTTTCAAAAGTGAGCTATGACGTTTCTACCATCTATCCCAGAGTAGATGAAACAGAAAGCTATCGAAATAAACAAAAACTTCAATTCATCATTTAAGGAATTTTTTATACGAAAATGAAAATATCTGACAGAAAATGAATATATAATAAAAAATATATCCTGAGCATTTTTTGAACAGAGAAATACTAGTAAAAATGCTCCTTGCTGTGAAATACCAGAAATACGAACCGTCTATAATTCGCTTCATGCTTAATTAGAACAGCTGTTGCTTCAAAAAGTAACAATCGTGTGTTCGTTTTCCCTGAAAATATCACAGACACGCGTATTTTAAAAACGACCAAAATATCAAACGCGTACTTACTATCCATCTGTGCTAACACATTTGTAGCCAAACGCATCAAGACCTTGGTCCATCGCCTTCATGCAGCACTTCTCAATGACCTGCAGTAAATTGCAGAGTTCCATCGATTCAAAATCCTACATTTTATCGTTTCATTAAAATGCAGCAGCAGAAACCAAAAGTCCAGCTATTCGTGTGATAAACGTATCCCAGAAGTCAAGGTATATAATATAAAGATACAAGGTGCATATGCATATCAATAAATAATGGAATATGTTAAAAAAACCTGATAACTGAAAAGGGGCTCTTTTAGGCAGATAGATAAATCAATAATCTTCATGTGTCTTGCGGATGCAGAGCAAAATCATAAGAATCATGAAGACCACGGTGGGCAACAAACAAACATTATAAGAAGTTCTACCATTTCTCTTGTAGCGTCTTCAAATATGAAAGTTTAGCCAACTGACTGCCTAATTTGCAGGTGTATGTAATCTCGATTTAACGTGGAGATGAATGAATATTGTTCCATCCATAATATATTAAATTTGACGTGAAAATGCAACAAAAACGGTTTATTTATACACCGCGCGAACGAATAAGTTGGTCAATCAGGTGATTAATCGGTAGCGATGTTTCGGCTCATATCTCACGAATCTTCTTCAGGGTAGTGCGGGTTGGTTTCTGCAGCCAAAGGTATGTTTTAGGCCCATGATGCTGGTTAAGCAGTGCCTGGGTTACGGGCTTGAAAAAGCCTGTCCAATCCGAGTGACGTTTTTGTAGGAATGGATAATTAAGGCTTGTTTGATTTGTCTGCTCAACCAGTTTGTTTATTTAACGATGCTCGCGTAATCTAAACATTGGGGGGGCATGACCTTTTTATGCTAGATATTGTACGATCCCATAGATCTTTATGCGTTGTTTTTGACTGTGCCAGGGGGACGGTTCGTTTTCTGTTCATTGTGCATTTACAAAACAGATTTTGAGTTGGAATGTATTTATAGCTATTTTTTAAAATATAATTTAATTTAGTGATCTTAGCAAATGGGGAAGAGAAGTTTTTCACGGTTTACAAGAAAAGTAGTTACCAAAAATTACCCTGTAAAGTAGATACTTTTCAGACGCCAGTACATCAGCGAACGCAATTGCTTCTTGGTAGTTTTCGCATGACAATAAAACGTCCACTAACATATTCGAAACATGGGGAATGCATATTTTCCTGATCAGGCAGGACTCTCTCTGGCGAACTTCTTCCTCTGGTACCTGTAAAATCTGGGAACAATGTAATCATCGTACATGTGATCATGTCATCAGTACTGTACAATCATGCCTTTTATTAGCAGGCATCGTAGTTATTCA